CTTCCTTCCAACTGGCGAAACAACACATGCTAAATACCTTTATTATAACACCTCCCTCCTCAGCCTGATAGAGCGGAGCCGGCTCTCTTCTGCTCACCCCCCCCTCCACAATACACACATACACAATCCCTGTTGTTAAACTGCACCCATACAGGATTTTCATTACAGACGACGTCCGTGGCAAATATTGGTTCTGGACGACATGTCTCATTTCCTTGGTAGAGCAAACGTCAGCCCCTGCCCACGTCTGTCTGCCTGTCTGTCTGTCTTTCTGCCCGTGTGTACGTTGCCAAATAGTGTTTCTGATTGAGTTTTTACGCGAGCTGGATGCACACGCCACGCTAACAAGACGAACTGCAAAATAAAGAGCAGAATATGAAATTGTGTGCTGAGGGAGAAGATAAATGGTGTTTTTGAATAGGAAGAGGCAGAGCAGAATGGAGACTAACAGAAGGGGCTTCAATTTTCTGATAACCAGCCGAGGTTACCATAGATACTCCATCCTGCACAAGAGCATGCACTGATTGCTCTCTCTCTCTCTCTCTCTCTCATCCTGTTTCCTTCTTCCTTTCTGTCTTTCTTTCTACTCGAGTCTGTTTTCCTGCTCCGAGTCCTCTCTTTTTTTCTCTCTTTCTGTCTCTTTCTGCTCTGCTTTTCATCGTGGAGGAGGGTTGGAGGAGGCTACAGCTCCTCTTGTCTCCTCTCCTCACTGCTGTGTTGCCATAGAAACAAGGGGATGGAGATGTATGTTATGTTTTTTGTGTTTCCAGAAGCAGACAGGGAGAAATGATGGAAGGAAAAAAGAAACAAAGACAGAAGGAAAGCATGACCTATGCACTGCATTTTCCAAAATGTTCCATACACCAATGCTAATCATCATCACATCACTGTTTTTATTCCTATCTGATTCATGTGAAGGACAGGATCAGTATTTTTGAATGATTTCACCTATTTAATACAAATTAGGTTTACTATCACATATTACAAACAATTACAAGTACATTTTCCAGCCTACATATTGTCAAAGTTGGTATTGTAGGTTTTAATACTTAACTCCTTTGTTAAATATTTGTAAAGCCCACAGACAGATGTAAAGGCTGACCAATATTCGTATACAATAACAATATTCTAATAGTCAACAAATCCTATAAGACTCAAAACAAAATGAAATTTCCAAAAACTATTTCATCAATGACACTCTTGCACTGGCTGACCCGTTCTTTAATTTTTACTTTAAGATATTTTTTGATAATTTTTCATTGCCTTTATTAGATATTACCAGCTGAATAGTGACAGTAAGGTGAGGAGGGAGACAGGGCAATGACATGCAGCAAAGAGCCACAGGTTGGAATCGAACCTGGCCCACTGCAGCAAAGACGCAGTCTTAGTACAAGGGTGAGCTTCTGGGACTGCGACATGTTCCAATTACTCACTAGAGCAGTGGTTCCCAACCTGGGGCTCGGGACCCCCAGTAGAGGTTTCCAAAGCTTCGTGGGGGGTTGTGAGGCCTTCTGATTTTAAGGCGTGTGAGGAAACTTAAAAACCTACACAGTAAGCCTATATCTCAGCATTTGGTTCACTTCTGTGAAGGAATTAAAATGTAAAGTAAAGTAAATTGTCTAATAGAACAATGGCAACAGGGACAAGAAGACACTGAATTTGTGGCAAAAGAAGTCTAATAAGGTCTGTATGATTGTTAAAAATGATTAACAAAAAAAACAAAAAACAACATCATACAGACAAAATTGTATAAAACATTCCCTGAACAGGAAATAATCTGCTAAAAAAATCATCCAAATCCCTCCTTTTACACAAACTTCCTGCAGTTACTGAGTTCACTGTTTGGGTTCATTACACAGTTTTGAATAGAATATGAAATATTCATAAAAAATGTCACTGAGTCAGGGGGTGTCAGTTTAATAATTACAGAAAATTGGTCCCTTAGATCCCTTATTAGAGCACTATAATACAGACTGAAAATAGTCCTAACAAATGCAGTATTTTTCTCCTATTTGATTAACTTTTGCTCAAAACTACAGTGCCCAGATGTTTAATAAAAGTACTGAGCCTTCTTTAAAACAACAAGGAACTGTATATTTGTGACAATTTACTGTACATCTTTAGGGCAGTCAGAAGACACACTTTTCAATCAGAGAAACGCAGCCTTCTCCTCTAACTTTAAGGTGTGCTGTGACTTTGGGAGAGTAAGCAATGCTAAATGCTGAGTCACTCATCAACAACCCTATCAGCTCCCTGATATGCTATGTTCACCGAGCGCTGCAGGGCGGGGGAAAACTTTCCAATTGTGCCTTTGATGATTTAAAGCAGGAAGCACATCGCTTCGAAAGAGAAACTGAAGCAGGGTGACAGAGGAAGACTGGGGAGGGAAACAGCTGACTGAGGCAGTCTGAGCTGCAGTGGAAGCAACGAGTCTGAAGGAGACACCTATCAGGTGTTTAACTCCTGCTGCCCGGATCAGTGCACCCGATAGGTCAAGCAGCCACTTTAAAGGTCAGCCCACTAAATACACACCTGGAACAGAGGCAGTCGTAGTAATGATGTGTACTGAGGAATAAGGTGCATTATTTGAATTTGAAAGGTCCCTTCTTCCTTTCGTTCTCTCCTCCACTCCACATTCTTTACTGTCTTTTCTTCCTTCCCTCTCCTTCTTTACCTTCTGTCCTTTTCTTTTATCAGCTCCTTCCTTTCCTTCTCTCTAAACTTCTTGCAATTCTTGTCTCCTCATCTTTTACTTTTTCCTCTCTCTCTCTCCCATCCTTCTCTTATTTCCTTTCCTACCTCCACCATCTTCTCCCTCTTTTCCTTCCTTCCTTGATTCCTCATCTTCTCTTGCTTCTTCTTCTTTTATTCCATCTGACCATTCATGCTTTCTCAGTTTTTTAACCCCTTCTCTTTTCTAAACCTCTCCACATTGTCCTTTCCTTTCCTCCACTTCGCTGTTCCTCCCCTCTTCCGTCATCCTCTGCTCCCTCTTTTACTTCTACTCTCCCCACTTTTTCCTACATATCTTTTACTTCTAAACTTTCCCTTTCCTTATCTCCTCCCTCTTACCCCCCGTCCGTCTTTTAGTCTCATGTTTATGTTGTTCCATCTTTGCTATATTTATTTATTCAACAATAAAAATGACTAATCATATTCTTAAATAAAAAAGAACTCTGGCTGTGACAAAGCAGCACAGTCACAAGTATGCATAAGCACCTCATGTTTAACAAACATGCGTACGATATACTGAGTCAGGCACAGGCACTGCGGACACTGAGTGAAGTTTGGTTCACAAGACACCTCTGTTTTGTTTGTTTGTATCACAGAGCGACAACCACAACCCTCCTGCTGAAGGCAGATAGCGGGTGGATAAGGGGGCATTTGAGTGCACATTTCTTCCTGTTCCCATCATCGAGCAAACAGCATCATTTCACATCCTGTGCTCCATTGGTTTCATATTTACCAATACTCACTAGCTCCAAAACAAAAGGACATTCAGCAGTGACCCAGATCTAAAGGGTGGCAGAGGCGCTGCAATGACTCCCTTTGCTCAAAGACCTTTGCTGAGACCAAGAGATTGATCACACACTGACATAAACATGTTATATGCTCCGTTTAGGGACTCAGTCACACCACAGAACTCACATGTGAGGCTGCAGGACTCGCGTGTGACGTTGCCGGGCACTGGCACTAAAGACTCACTTCCCTGAACGATAAGCTGTTCTACTTCTCCATTTTGGAAGGAACAAGCAAATAGCTGCTCGTAAACTCGGACGACAAAAACACGCTGCTGACCTGCGGCTCACTGTCAACAGGTTGCTGCAGGCCTTCCCTTCACAGGGCCGAGGATAGAGAGCGCTTCTGTTGAATTAGCTGTTTGGTGACAGTGCTCTGTGGTTTGACGCTGACACATACTGTGAAAACACAGTTCCAAGAACCTTCTCAAACCAAAACTGACTTACTAAATGAAAACATTAATGACAATTCCGACAAATTGAGGCCTTATTGATAAGTAAGACTGCATGAGATTGCATGTCACATGACATCAAAAACAATGTAGCAGTACAGTACTGAGGCAGTAGCTCAGTACCACTAAATCATTAGCTGGTTATATGATTTGTTGGTTCAAGCCATTTCAATACAATAATAATAATAATAATAATTTTTTTTGCGTCTAAAATGTAAGAATTTGTTGCTTTTTGATGGCCTATAGATTTTTTATATATGGACATAATGTTGCTGTGTGAGACAGGTAAAAACACAGACC